TAGCTGAGTTGATGCAAACATCTTGTAAAGCTAAGGATTCTTAGTAAGCTCTGGAGTATCTTGCAATCAAATTCTCAGGAATTAGTTTCTCTGGTGAATTTGAAGTTGGAATAGATTGTATGGTGGGGGTTATTCTCCCACTTTCATGAGATTACTGTTTTCCACTTTGATGACTTGCAATGGTTTGGTAGTTTCCTGATGGAACTCTGGCTGCAGCACAGCTTTTTGCTGTTTGAAAAGCAAGCAGAGGAAATGGGTAACAAAAACAGAAGTTGCTGGAAAATCTCAGCAAGTCTGTCAGCATCCACAAAGAGGAATTAGAGTCAACATTTCAGGCAGTGCATTGAAATTGCAGGCAACTGGAAGTTCAGTCTTTTTTGCAGACAGAATGTTGGTGTCATGTGAAGCGGTCACCAAGTCTATGCTTTGCTTTGCCAATGTAGAGGAGACTAGAGGAAATGGGTGTTTCAGCATATGACTTGTTCCGAAGATCAAAATCCTTTTTCAAATACAGTGGGTGGTTAGGAAGATTACTCATTGCATGTTCAGGATTTTACACCTTGAAAATCTGAGCCAGTCTCTTTTCAGGTGAAGAGACCCATTCAACTGCTAATACCCTCTGAATTAGGAATCAGTGCAGAAGTCAGTAAGGTTCCTTTTGTTCCCTCGAGACAAGGTCAGAAGTCATGACACTAGGTTATAGTGCAACAGGTTTATTTGAAATCACAAGCTTTTGTGATGCTGCCCCTTCTTCACCAGTCAAAGGGGCAGCGTTCCAAAAGCTTGTGATTTCAAATAAACGCGTTGGACTATAACCCGGTGTCTGTGACTTCTGACCTTGTCCACAGTATAACGCCAGCAACTCCACATCATCCCTTGAAACAGGTTGGAGTTCTAATCAATAAAACTAATCCTGAGATGACCATCTCACTGTCTTCTTCAACAAAGCATAAAACACTGCAAAAATTAGTTTGAAGTTCAGAATATACTGGGACATGACAATCCATTTACAGGAAGAACAACTTTTACTTTAACTGTTGATACTTAGATGGTTTGGACTTAAGAATTATGGAATATTAAAACAGCATTTTGGCAAGGTATTGTCAACACAGAGGATTAAAATCCTGTTTGTTCCTGGTCTCTGCCTGGTCCACTCACCTGTTGGGAGTCAATGCCTCAGGACTAAACCACAGGAGCAAAACTTTTTAAAATGCCTCCCCCTGACTCCTGATATAATCTGGTGAACTTCAAAACTTAATACAAATCCATATATAGAATCATAGAATTCCTACAGCACAGATAGAGGCTATTCAGCCCATCAAATATGCACCGACCCTTCAAACAGCATCCCACCCTGGCCATCTCATTCTAAAGAACAACCAAGCCTCAGGCAGCAAAACTCTCCCTCAGGGCTGTACCGCTCAACTGCTGTTGTGTGTCTCAGTTCTGTGACTCAAAAATAGTGTAGAGACTACAGGGCCACCCCTGAACCAATTCTGATATGAACAACAAATTCTGTAATTTCCTCCCAGACAGCATTGTGGGTCTACCTACAGCACATAGACTGCAGTGTTTCAAGGCAGCTCACCACCACCTTCTCAAGGATTATTAGGGATGGACAATAAATGCTGCCCTGGCCAGAGATTCCCCCATCCAAATAAGAATAACCCAAACTAGTGCCCTAGAATTGGCTGGATATTTTTGATATGGAAGCAGGCTTTTGCTGGGAATGAGTGCTGATGCCATAGTGCTGCAAATCCCTTTTCTCTGCTAATTCCAGTCACCCATTCTGCATACATCCAGTGCTGATAGTTAAAACCCAGTGAATTTCTACATGTTGCTCTTCTCACCTACTGTCTCTCACCTGAATTTTCTGTTCTCATAAGCTCAATGGAATCCACATCCCTTCCAAACCACTGACCATCTCAGTAAAGTAAAGCAAACAGGAGTTAGGAGACAGTGACTATTATCATCTTGATAATTCTTCCTAAGAGTGGGTTCATCTTTAGTAATAACTCACTCCTTCCCAAGGTTCTAGTCCAAAATGTCTGCTTGTCTTTATTGAAAATATGTAAAAGCACTGTCAGCAATGCGCCCATAATCTCTGGTGATATACATTAAAACACAGACATCACAATAATTCAATATTGGATGAGATGTTAATCATTGATTTGTAACATTCAGAAAATTGAGTGACAAATGCAGCTTCAGCAGTTTGGTGTTAACTTGAATTTCAACCCCTTTCGAAGTGCCTTCTGGTTGGTTCATAAGCCTCTGAATTTTGTTTAAAATTATTTTTATAATTAACCTATTTAGTTATGTTATTACACACCTCTGGAGCAGGTGGAACTTAAACCCGGGTCTCCCAGTCCAGGGGTAGGGGCACTACCACTGCACCACGGGCCCCTGGATAGAGTTTAAATGTGCACAAGAGGTATTTGACATAGGGCCTCACAGCTCACATTGCCTCTGGGAGCTGCACTATTAAATTGAAGACTAGTCTACTGCTGCCTCCAAGGGGTCCGAAATCAGAAATCAGAAAAACTAATTAGCAGTAGTTTCCCCAAGTATCCACCCTCCAGGTCAGAGCTGATACTTCTGTGGTCAAATGGCTAAGTAATATATCACAGTTAACCCTAACCTTGTTCTCACCTGACATTCAGATTGCACAGCAGATGAGATGAACTGTGAGCCAGATCCTGATTAATTCTGGGACAACAAGACCATTTGCAATAGTTTCTCTATCATTGCATATTTGTGTTGATAAATTTATAGGCACAGTCATTTATTACAAGGGGTGTAGAATTGGACACTTGTGATCATTAAATAGGCATAAAATGGTTGTGAAGGGTCCGATTTATGAGGCTAACGTCCTGTGCCTGGAATGTGTAAAAGCAGATTAGTTTGGGTGTTAGAGGTACACATGCTAGTGAATAGTTAAAACCAATATAAGACACCTGATTGGCACATTGAGGGACCTGAATTGGAACTGCATTAAACCCAGGCAGCAGCAATCACAGCTCTGTTTAGGGTCACCAGCTCCATTTGGCCAACCAGGGGTCCTAAGGGGCTACCTGTCACTGGCTGAGCTCACAGCAGTAAATTATCCTTGGCTTGTGCTGGAAATGTAGCGATGAGTTTTTGAGGAGGAAGTGGAATGGAGAATTTGGTGCTGAGAACCAATGGTGAACCATCAAGATTAGACAGAGGTGACAGGAAGATTTAGATTGTGGGAAGGGGAGGCCATCTAACCCCAGACTGATTTGTTGTCTTAAAAAGGTGAAGTAAGGAAAGATATACTGGCATTACAGGTAAGTCTAGGGATTATCTGAGAAGACACTGAGTATGTTGGGCCTATACTCATTGGAGTTTAGAAGAATGAGAGGAGACCATATTGAAACATAAAATTCTTAGGGGACTTCACAGCGTAGATGCAGAGAAGTTGTTTCCCCTTGTGGGAGAGTTTAGGACCAGAGAACAAAATCTCAGAATAAGGCTGCAAATCTGAGAGAGGAGAGAAAGAACTTCCCCTGTCAAAAGACAGTGAATTTCTGGAATTCTTTACCACAGAGGGCTGTTGAGACTGGGTCATGATGTATATTTAAGGCTGAACAGACAGATTTTTAAACAGTAAGGGATTCAAGATTTATGAGGAAAAGGCAGGTAAGTTGAGTTGAAAATTATCAGATGAGCCATGACCTAACTGAACAGCAATGAGACCTCAATGGGTTGAATAGGCTGAAGATGTCAGCCCTGCTCTCTGCCTTTTATATCTGCTTTCCAGGAAATCTGATGTCACCCCAGTTTTAATTTGCAATTATTGCTGTGTTAAGATTGCTTCACTCTTTCTGATGAAGGGATCATTATTGTACATCAGTAAAACAGGGCAACTTCTTCATCAAGCGCATTACTGAGATTATGCAGTCACACATTGAGAGTGGGTGAGGATGGTGCTGAGAATTTGTAACTCTCACCAGACTACAGACATAGGCGGCAGATTTTCTTTGAGTTCTTTGGCAAAACAGTTTCACGGTCACTTTTACGGAGACCAGCTTTACATTTCAACATTAACTCCCCACCAACCACCCCATCAAATTTTCAAGTTCCCTGGATTAATAATCTTGCTCCACCATACCCAATTTGTAGCGTTTATATAGCACCTTTAATGTTGTAAAGGGCCCAAGGCATTCAGCACAGGTGGCCCATTGTGATGCTTGTAGATAGTGGGATGAGGTGTCACAGGCAACTAAGAGGCATGAGAGGCAAGGGAGGCAGGTTGGGGGCCTCTCTGAGCCAAGCTGATGGCTGGAAAGAAAGAAATCAGAGTGAGTTTGATGGGGTTAGACACTGATATTAGGGAATTCAGGAACCAATTAAAACTCATTCAAGTACATTTTAATGAGATTAGTTAGAAATGTTCAAAATTATTAAGTGTTTTGATGGAGAAAAATAAACTGTTTGCAGGAGCGTCAGTGATCAGAAGGAGATTTACACTGGACACTGACCGACAGCAACACCCAAAATCAGGAAGCACCCTGGCATTATTGCATACATTGTCAGAACAGGGTCAGTCCTGTACAGAGGCTCATGCAGTAAAACGCTGCCCCTTAACACATATACCTTTATTCCACTCTAACATCTCAGTTTGAGTTCCATCCAGAACAGGGAGAGGTCGCACCCTACGCCAGGCCCCTGGACCTTGTCAACTTGTTCTCCATGAGTTCAGAAGTTGCAGTCTTCATATTGCTGTGATACAGAGTGGAAAAGACACCAAACAGACTCAGACACTTAAGAGTCTGCTCAACTTACCGAAAAAGGTTTGCAATCACATGCTGCAGTCTGGATTCTGGGCTGAAACACTGCAGACCTAAAGACATGGCTTGTCATTAATCATGGGCGAGGGGGGTGGAGAGCAGTGGAAGACGTGTAGACTCTGGCAAAACTTCACAGCACCGATTGCTGCGTTAACAACATGAGTCCTGATTTCCAAACTAGCACAATCACTTTGCAATATGTTAGGTTTTATTTGAGGGAATAACATTCATTGTCAATAGAAAGATAACAGCAGGAATGTTTTCAGTTAACCATCAGTTGGAGTGAATGTGGAGCAAGAACTGTTCTGGTCAAGGTGGCACTTGGCCGTGAGCTAACCACAGCACCCCAGATTGATGCTTTGCTACACCAGCTATCTTCAGGCAAGCAGGCCAAGGCAGGCACTGGAGTCTGAGATTGCAATAGACACCAGATTCTCAACTCCACACATATTTCAAAGACAAACTGTTGCTGAAGGATTGGAGAAGCTTTTGGGCATTGAATTTTCATTGGATTGTCCAGAGTTCTCCTGCACTGCCCTTCCTCCAACAAAGGAATCTCGGAGTCCAACACAACCATTGAGCAGTCCAATTAGCTGTCCACAGACAAGCTCGTCGACTCAACATATTCCAGCGCCTTCTCCTTCACGGCCTGTACCCTCTCCTCACTCCCGTGTTTCTTCTCATACTCTAGATACCTTTTGAAGAAGAACTTCATCTTCTTTGGCGCGAGCTTCAGGTGTATGACTCTTTCAAAGAGATGCCTAGAAAGTAGAGATTAATAAATTGTTGTGAACTATTCAATCTACAATCCACATTATGAATAATTTACAGATTTTGGATTTGGTAAGTAGTGATTAATATCGTGAAGTTGAAAGTTCAAATCCCAGAGTGGGTAAATGAAATACCTGCATTAATACATGAATGCCTTACTGTCAAATTATAATCAAAAAATGCCAAGTTGATCTTTAATGTCCTTTGAAGAGAACTCTGCATCTTATCCAATCTGGTCCTTCATTCTCACTCCAAGTTGACACAATGTCTTTCAGTGCAGTAACTGAACCAGTGTGTGCAAGATAATAAAAAGGGAGCGAGGGGCAGAGAGAGGGAAAGGCAACAGACAAAAAGAGAGAGAGGGAGTGAGACAGAAAATGCATATGACAGGCAGAGAGAGAGAAACTATATCCTCGGCCAGGAATCCAGAGCACGGGAAAATACTTAAATAGTGTCAAACAGTATTTTTTCACAATAAAAGGAGTGTTTTCTAAAGAAACATTATTGGCATGAAGGCATTTGTGGCTGGACCAGCATTTATTGCTGATCCCTTGAAATGGTGGCTTGCCCTGCCATCTCGGAGGGCAGTTAAGAGTCAATCATGTTGCTGTGGGTCTGGAGTCAGACGTAGGCCAGGCCGGGTAAGGATGGCAGTTTCCTTCCCTAAAGGGCATTAGTGAACCAGCTGGACTTCTGACAGAAAAGGAAACGATTACCATTAGATTCGACTTTAATTGCAGACTTATCATAGGAACTCAAATGTCACCAGCGGTTGTGATGGAATTTGAACCTACATCCCCAGAGTAGTAATTTGGGCCTCTGGATTCCTCATCCAGTGACATTAGTACTGCACTAGCCGCTCCCTCTTTGCAGAGTGGATGTCAGCAATTTGGGCCGCACCGCAGACAGTCAGCTGACCTCTGCTGGGTCCGTGGTTTGGATGCATCAGCAACAACTGGACTGAATATCTCTTCAGTGACAGCTGCTAGGATGGAAAGCAATCTGGCTTCTTCCCAACCTTGTGTTCATTGGTGGGCAAAATGGCTGCAGGCTGAGTTAGGAAAAGAAATTAACTCAAGATGCTGAAGTATTAGCTGCCTTTATTGGACTGCAGCCATTCTTAGCTCAGTTGGGAAGCAAAGAGACAACAAAGATATTTCTGAACTGAATAGTCTGCACTGCAGTAGGAAATCTGTTACCTTCTTTAACATGTTGTGCTGCAGGTCACGTACAGCTGGAGGCAGGAACACAATTAGCACAGCTCCCACAGGCTGGATACTAACAAACAGGTGAGCAAGAATGATCTCATTGCACCAATTCAACTGTGGAGAATCCTATTTGTGTCTCAGCCAATATTTCTCACTCCTCTCTCCTTAACCCTGTGGCTCAGTGGGAGCCACCCCTGCCTCAGATTTAGGAGGCGCAGGGCTCATGCAGAGTAACTCCAGCTCAGAATTCCAGAACATCTGGGAGTTGAATCACAAAATTCTTTTCACCTGCCTGGGCTAACCTTATTGACTGGTTAAGGATTGTTAGGTGCCATGTGATGATGTGGTGTTTCAGACTGTGAACCGAGCTCTATCACTGCTGCATACCAAATGGCAGAGTGTTGGAGACAAAAAACAGCAATAATAAGTGCCATCAGAAAGAAGTGAAACATCTCACTGACCTCTTGTTGGGTATGCTGGGCCTACAGTCACACTTAGAAACCACGTGAATCAGCTCAATACGTCCAGGTTTGTAGGATCAAGCCTCACTGCCGATCCCCAAGTACAAACTGGAGGCTGCAGTACGGAGGTGACCCCACAATGGCAGACATTTCACCCTTTCGATGAAATGATAATCTAGGGCCCACTTGCACCGTCAGTGAGATCAAAGCTCCCACAGCGACTATTTGAAACAGCAAGAGAATTCCCACTGGTATCCTGCAGCCTGTTGCTATGCCTCGATTAACAGAGGATTTGGTCACTATTCCATGGTGTCTGGAATCTTGCAGAGCACAGATAGCTATGGTGTTCCCTCAACTACAACAGGAAACTACACTTCAATCCGTTCCACTTGCTGTGCAGCATGAGATATCGAGATGCAGCGATATGATTTTAGACTCCGGCTCAGTGTGACTAACCTGACTTCGTCCTGGCTACCATGCTTCACCATCATGTCAATATAGACTGACCATAGGTCTGTGCGTTTGGGGTAATTGCTCAGTGTGCTCTCAAACATTGCCTTAGCCCGTTCTGTGTCCCCAAGACGAAACTCCAGCTGTGCAAACTTGGCAATTATGTCAACATCTGAAACAAAACAGAGGCTGTGAATAAACGTGAAGTAAATTATTGTTTCCTTTCGCCAATTTGGAGCAGGTTCACTTCTCCTTGGTGACTGGAGAGTGGTACTCAGATGTCCTGCCCCTGGGAAGGTAGTTCTCCAAGCTGTTCTACCCTCAGAATGCTGGGACTCTGGGCTATCCCAGTATTAATGGAGGCCACAATAAATTTCTGCTGCTTGAGTAATTCTGGGCCAGGTTCCAATCTGCAAATCTTCAATCATAGGACAACAGCCTCAAGGCACCTACAGGGGCAGCACGGTGACTCAGTGGTTCGCACTGCCGCCTCACCGGCGACCAGGGTTCAATCCCACCCTCAGACGACTGGCTGTGTGGAGGTTGCACATTGTGTGTGTGTCTGTGTGTGTGTCTGTGTGTGTGTGTGTGTGTGTGTGTGTGTGTGTGTGTGTGTGTGTGT